TCGGTCTAGTTATGTACATACAACCACAGTCATGGGGAAGACTGACGCCTTGACCAAGTTGTCCAGAATACAATCGGTTATTTTACGGATCTTTGCTGAAAAGCATTGCTGTTCACAATGTGCTGTATCCAAGTACATTAATGGAAAGTTGTCTGGAAGCGAAACGTGTGATACAAAAACAAGACAGATGACCGGAGCCTTGAGAGCTCTGACAAGAAAAATATATTCAAAAAGTTGGGGGAGCATCACAAGGAGTGGACTGAGATCCACCGTACACGGACATCTTCAGGAAGCATTCGTAACATCAAGCTGCTCCTGAACCAGAGACTTTAAAGGTATCTTGCCTGTTGCTTAGTGGTCCAAAGTCCTTTTTTTCAGATGAAAGTAAATGCTGCATTTCATTTGGAAATCAACATCCTAGAGCAGGGGTTTCTAACTCCAGGCCTCGAGGGCCGGTGTCCTGCAGGTTTTAGATATCACCCTGGGTCAACACACCTGAATCACATGATTAGTTCATTACCAGGCCTCTGGAAAACTTCAGGACATGTAGAGGAGGTAATTTAGCCATTTAAATCAGCTGTCTTGGTTCAAGGACACATCTAAAACCTGCAGGACACCGGCCCTCGAGGCCTGGAGTTGGACACCCCTGTCCTAGAGTCTGGAGGACAGTGGAGGGGCACATAATTCAGAATGTCCCCTCTAGTTCTCATTGATATTCTTCACTGGTATCAAATCTACAAAACAACAGAACAGAACCAAAAAAGGCTTTTAACAACCTGAAATACCCACCATGTATATGATTTGAAATAAAATCAGAAGCCAACTAGTGTTATCTAATTAGGGATTGTCCTCTTCATTAACACACATTTGAATGAAGGGCACATATGCAATACAGTGACAGCCCATGTACATACAAAAGCTATGATGAATTTCTGTTTCTGTTTTCTTGTCTGTATTGTAATGGGGTTTTTTTTCAGATACTTGCTGATCTTTACATTCTCTTATTCATGGGTCAAATTACCAGAATTAGTCAGTTGTTGATGTAAAAAGTCTATAAAATATGGATATCAAATTCAATGTAGTTCCTTAAGTGATGGTGGATCTGCTTATTGCTATTAAACACACATTTTGGTCAGGCAGAGTAAGCAAACCTCTAATGACCAACTCTATTGACAGAATATGTAATTGAATGATTACAACAATGTAATATTGCCAAATGAACCACACTTTCTCTTTTTCATTGATCTGAGTGATCTAAAAATTCAGGTACTTTCTCTGAATATACCCAATGTACTTGAGCCATATAGGTACGTGAAGACACTGAAAGGTAACAAAGTCACATTTTAGGTTGCATCAACATACTGGTCGTAGTCATGATTTTTAAAAGCTCTGCTAACTGTGCTAAACTGGCAAATGCAATCATCTAGAAACAGCTGAGACACTATATTGCAAAAAGTATTTGCTTGTCTGCATATTAACTTGAGTGACATCCCATTCTTCATCAATACCGTTTAATATGATGTCTCCCCACCCTTTACAGCTATAATGTCTTCAGCTCTTCTGGTAAGGCTTTCCACAAGGTTTAGGAGCATGTTAGTAGGAATAGGAAGGCCTGTCTTGCGCTCTAACTGTAATTCATTCCAAAGGTGTTCCCTTTAGTTGTCAAGTTCTTCCAGACTAAAGACATGATACATGGACCTTACTTTGTGCACTGGTGGGCAGGGATGTTGGACAGGAAGGGGCCATCCCCAAGCTGCTACAAAGTTTGGAGCATGAAATTGTCTATAGTGAAAGAGTTCCTTTCACTGAAACTAAGGGGCTGAGCCCAACTCCTGAAGAACAACCCTACACCATTATCCTCCCTTCACCAAACCTTATACTTGCCATAATGGAGTCAGATAAGTACTGTTCTCCTGGCAGCTGCCAAACCCAGACTTGTCCGTTGGCTTGCCAGATGGAGAAGCACCTGAATTCAGTGATTTGGATATGTGAGTGAATACTTCAGGCAATATAGTTTATCTACCTTCTTTCTCTCCATCATATCAGCTAGCTCTCTCCCTTTGCCAGTCATAGTACCAACATTTAGAGTCGCTACTCTCATCTCCATACTCCAGCTTTTGTTTCTCTCTCACTACCTCTCAACATGCCTTCCCTCATTCATCTTCATTTGTCTCTGTTGTCTAACAAACAGCCGAGACAGTTGTTGTTAACCCAGGCCCTGACCAATCCAATATAGAAATCTCATTCTTTATGATCTGCATGTTTGATTTGGCCAGGATTATACGTTGGACACTATTCATGAAGCAGTTCTCCCCATTCACCCGGGCTTGGGACTGGCACTAGGAATACACTGGCCTGTGGCTGGGTTTTTACTTAATGTTTTAGTGTATGATTGTGGCTCACCTGACATCTGCAGATAACAGTCTTGACTGAGATGATCTATAACAAATATCTTTGCTACAGGGTTCACTTGGAAACAGTTTCATCTGTCTACAGTCCATTTTAAATAGAAATTCATAACTCATAATTGACTTTTGTCACTACTACTGTACTGCTCAAGGACTAAATGCACTTTTACACATTGTGCCTCATTCAGACAAACACCTAAATGCTTTCTGTGTAACACTGACACATCAGAGAACAACTTGCGGTTTAGTATTTTGCCCAAGGATACTTTGCTTGCAGACTCTTACAGCCAGAGATTGAACCACCAACCTTCCAATTAATAGATGACCCAATACCTCCTGAGCTGCAGTCAGTCAGTCCAGCAAGACTCTGAAAAATGTCTCTTTGAAACAAAATACATTCATCAGCTTGTGAAGCTAGCTTTAAAGGATGCTTTCGGTTGAAAATTACAGAACAAATGTAATGCAGAAAGTCTGCACTCACAGGACAGTGACACATACACATCTGTGGCAACGTCTCAAGGTGTATTTACGAAAGCATCTCTCTTAACTTAACTTTTCTACCTGAAAAATGTATTTTATGCAATTTTGTAATTGTGGCTATATTTATCTATGAGCAATTATGTAATTATATAAACCAGTTTATGATGTGGTTTAAGCCCCCAGAGGTCTATGTCGTATTTTTTCAAACCAGGAGTGGGCAATTATTTTTTATGAGAAATTGACACTGTTGTGGTGGGCTGCACCAATAAGCCGAACTCAATTTTGTGCAATATTAAATGTGTCTATTTATGAACTGCTATTAGTAAGACTAGATATTACCATTAGAAAAATGTGAGAGGCATAACAAAATTTTAATTATTCACCATTTTTTCCAACATTCCCAAAAAGCAGTCACAAACAAAATGTACATGTTTTTGTGAACTTTCAGTCTCTTAATTATACAAAGTTTGATTGCTCTTTTGCAATTTTTTTTAGCTGTTTAATCTTGTTCAGTGAGTTTAATTTTTCTGCTTGAACAAGTGAATTAAACTCACATTCAGTTTCTAAAGTGGAAATGCGAAGGGCAGTGGATCTACAAGCCGATTGTAACTGAAATAATTTAGAGTTGTTAAATATCATCACTAAGAAGGTTTGTTTGCGTATGAAGGCAGATGAGAACCAACATCTTCTCCATTGGTATGCCAGTAAGAATGATGCTTTCAAGCCGACTTAAAAGAAATGGTAACTTTCTCATGAAAACCAGACTGTATATTTTGCATGCAAATAGGCCTTGCAGTTTGGTATTTAGTTAATTATTTAGTTAAGTAATTCGTGAAGTCACATAACTCAGTAAAGGCAAGAAATGCCTCTGCATCTGAGAGCTCTGAAATATCCTTACCTCTCTTCTCATTCTTGAATTTCTGCTCTCAGATCCCACATCCTTGCATCCACTGTCCTTATTTGAACAGTCATTGGTTGTAACACCTGCCAGTTTGTCCTGTTTCTGCCCAAGCCTATCAGTTACCTCCATGAACAATTCACTCCCTGTAAGTCCTTCTCATTGAGTGCATTGCTCCTAGCTCTACTGTCATTTAAAACTCTTTCATCATTCCAGGTACAAAGATGAGTAGCTGGGCCTTGTCCCAGATATCACAGCTCCTGTCCAGTTTTCTGTGCTTTTTCAGCTGAACACAACAATACACATGGCGTTACCTCTGGTTTTAGTAAACAAATACGTAGGAGACCATATCTTATTAAAATTAAAAAAGCCTCTACAGTTTATGTGAGCTAACATCTTTAGGAGAAGCAAACTCAGTAGCAAAGTCTGTTCCAGCATATTTGAAGTAAAGCTATATTTGCTTCCATACCTGCAG